AGTCGAGATAATAATGTATACGCTGATTTAACCCAGCTATCTTTCTGCGTGTGTGCACGAACAGGGTGCGTCTATTTGCGCTTCAGAAGACAATATCGCAAGGTTTACAGATACACAGTGGAAACTACTTATATATATATATATATATATATATATATATATATATATATATATAGAGAGAGAGAGAGAGAGATAGATAGATAGATAGATAGATAGATAGATATAAAATGTCGTAAACTTTATAGATAGATACTAAAATGTCCGTAAAATAGATAGATAGATATAAAATGCCTATAGATAGATAGATGTCGTAAACTTGATAGATAGATACTAAAATGTCTATAAAATAGATAGATAGATAGATCTGAATAGGTTGTGATAGATAGATCTGAATAATGGTTCTGATAGATAGATCCGAATAATGGTTATGATAGATATTAAAATGTATGTAAAATAGCTAGCTAGCTTTAATATTAAAATATCTGTTAGATAGATAGATAGATAGATATTAAAATAGCTAGCTAGAATAGATAGATATTAAAATATCTGTATATATATATATATATATATATATATATATATATATATATATATATATATATATACAGGCACAGAGATACAAATACAGAGATACATAGCTTGATATAAAATGTCTGTAAATCAGATAGATAGACTGAGTTAGATAGATATGAAATGTCTATAAATTAGATATAAAATGTCTGTAAATTAGGTATAAAATGTTTGTAAATTAGATAGAAAGATATAAAATGTCTGTAAATTAGGTGGAGAGATATTAAAATTGACTGTAAAATAAATATAAAAATGTTTGTAAATTAGATAGATAAATAGGTAGACATATAGATAGATGTAAAATGGCTGTAAACTAGATAGATATTTAAATGTCTATTAAAATAGATAGATATCTGTATATTAGACATAAAACAACTTGCTTAAACAACTTATATATATACATTCATGATTTAACTCCTCACACACACACACACACACACATATATATATATATATATATATATATATATATATATATATATATATATGTGTGTGTGTGTGTCTGTGTGTGTGTTACGAAAATTAATGACAAAGGTTAAAACTTTTTTGCTTTTGATGTGTTCGTCTTTTAGTTCCACTTTGTCATTAATTCTCCCAACATTGTTCTGGTAAATAAAAAAATATTTATGACTTTCACCCATATATATATATATATATATATATATATATATATATATATATATATATATATATATATATATATATATATATATATATATATATATATATATATATATATATATATATATATATATATATATATATATATATATATATATATATATATATATATATATATATATATATATATATTATATATATATATATATATATATTATTATATATATATATATATATATATATATATAAATTCACCATTTCTTAAATGAGGCTTAACCACTGTATCTTAGAAATGATTAAAGATATCTTACTGAAATTTTCCGAGGTTTTTATAACGTTATTGGACTCTACTTTGATCAATAAGAATGTATAATTACTCTCCAAGCTTAAAGAAGAATCGTGACGAAATCGATCATAAACGAAAATGACATGTTCATTATTAATTAATCATAGCTAAGGATCGGAAGCACGTGAAGGATTGAAATAAAGTTCAAATATATGTATATATATATATATATATATATATATATATATATATATATATGTATGTATGTATGTATGTATTATTCCAGGATCATTTTCCAACTTATTCAAGATGATCTTCACTATCTCTAACCTTTCTAACTTTCTATGTTGGAGTAAGTAACGTCACAGTTTTTACGTACGATTTTCAAGTTTTTTTTTTTAATGCTCTTTGGACTGTCATAGTTGAACCTTCTCTCTCACGTGCCAAAAGTCTTATGGATTGAGTTGGATCTTTTCTAATTGATCACTTTTGCTCTAAGTTAAAATGATGATCCCTCTTCCTATTGTGACCTCCTGATCCAGTTTTCCTCCCGACTGTTCCCTCTTTTTAAAACTTATTCACTGTTCTCTTGATGATTCTTGAATGGACTTTGAAGATGGAAGCCAGAGTATGAATGTTGGTACCATTACTGAAGGCATGAATGATCTTTTTTCCTCTCGCTATTGCTCAGTTGGGAAGACACAGATTTTAACCTGTTCTCTTTCTAGCTGAATAACTCAAATAGTTGTTCAATGATCCTTATGACAAAAGGTGTCAAGATGGCTAAACGTCTTAACTGAAATCATAGAAAAAAGAAATTCAATTAGTTTAGTGTTTGATTTTAAGATATTAAACATTTTGTGGGATGGACAATTATGCTGTTACACCCGGTATATATATATATATATATATATATATATATATATATATAGACATATATATAAACAGATAGATAGATATGGGCGTAAGATATTAACTTCGTAGCGTCATGATTTCAATCTTTCGTCTTTCAATGCACTTAATCCAATCAGTTTGATTTTTCCTGGATGCCACACAATGCCAGAATTTTTTTCTCTTTCTCTCTTTTTTTCTCTATATCTTATTCTCTGATGAAGCTTTAATTAAGGTCGAAACGTGTTAAATTTCTAAGCGTTTCTTTTTTCTTCCTTATCCTATCATTCTATCGGACCCCGATCAATATTTTATCCAGTTCACATGGGACTAACTTTGGCGAACTTTTAATGGTAAAATTGTCCCGAAAGTCGTCTTTAGGGAATTTAACTTTGGCTTCCTCAGTCTCTTAGTCTGGCACAAGACTCACTTATAGATTCAGTTTAGCATTCTTATTCAAACGTACACCTTTCGAACTGTAGCTAGCAAGATTATCTCCAAACCTATCAAAATTATCAGTGAGTTCATCTTCTACTCCTATTGTATTGAGCTAATCTTCTTCTATTTTGTACTAATATTCACCCAACACAAGGCCCAAGAGCCACTCAAGGTAGTGTGAATTTGAGTAAAAGTAGCGTAAAAAAGAACAAGCGTCTGGAGATCAGGGCTGAAGCACACTTTAGAAGGAACCGGAAAGCTGATCCTAAACAGAAGACAAGAGATAAATCTGTACTCTTGTTCGGGAAGGAGTCTGAACCGGGCGATAGGCGAACCTATTTGCTTCTACTGAGGAGAACAATAAATAAATAATTTCAGTGTTTATGCCGAGAGGTTACAAGTATAGGATTGATGTAGATTTTAGAAAGAACCTGGAATCCAATCCTAAACAAGAAACAAGAGATAAACCTCTGTTCGAGAGACCGGGGAGGTGCGTGAACCGGACTATAGGCGAACTTATCTACTCCTATTGGTGTAGGAGAGAGAAAAAGTAAAATAGAATAAATAATTAGTGAATAAAATTTCAAAGTTACGTAGCAGACGTTAGGAGTACAGAACTGAAGTAGACGCGAGAAAAACACAGAAAGCCAATGATTCAAGAGATGTTGTCTTACTTAAAATTTAATGAGTAAATAACCTAATTTTTAGGCTAACAATTCAATAAATATTTTTAAACGTTAGCTTATTGAAAAGCCAAGTGCCAAAAATCAATTGATTTTATACCCGATCTTCTGCAAATGCACAGCATTTAAGACATATACCCAATGAACGTATATGTCGGCGTACAAGGCGACCTATTACCTTTAAAAAATCCCCTTAAAAATAAGAGGCCGTCTTATACTCCAGGTATAAAATGTAAACCTTAATTCCTGTAATTTATGGTAAGTCCTTACCATAGGAAACTTTTGAAGGTAGGCTAATCCCTGCCTTGGTAAATATCGACACAAATATTTTCTACTGAAACGACTTTATCATAATGAAATAATTAAACTGTAGTGAAATAAAAGTACTCTTGCCTTATATAAAATGCGCTATGATTGCACGACAATAAAACAATATTCGTCAAGAGAGAAATTCCAAACTATCGTCCCACATTGTAAACATGATAGACTATTCATTTTAAAATACGATTGGGGGAGTCGTGTACAGCAAATATAGCCCGAAACCTACAGTTTTATTTGAAAATTTGGAGGTCGTCTTATACGCCCACCCCCTTGTACGCCAGCATATACAGTATTAATCTATAAAGTGTCAGCTTTTAAACAATTATAGTTATTAATTTATTAAAAATTTTATACTCTTCAAGGAACGCACATTCACAGAGAATCGAGCATTTTTTTTTTTTTTTGTTAAATATGGTTACACATTTTTGTCTACTAACACGTCCGCGCACCAGGTGTAAATAAAAGCACAATGTACAAAGCAGGCAGTCGGCGTGACAATAAGAGTAGTAGACGGATGCAACTGTCCTAGTCAAAGTAGTAAAAGGAGTCATTAATGAATTTTTCTGTACTTTATCTGTTCACAAAAACAGAACGTAAAAAAATAGAAAAAAAAAAGAAGCAATTTCTGTAAAACCTCAACAAATTCTGGAATAATAAAATATTTAGATTTGCAATTTATTTCCTTTCTTCTTTTCCTTTTCCCTCTTCTCTGTGGGCGAATTGAATATTTTTCACAGGGCCAAATTTTCAGCCCCTAAACCGGCCACAAATATTTGCATCAGATAAAAGCAGACAAAGAAAAAAAAAATCTGTGTCTTAAAATTTGGTAAAATTAAGAAATTAAACAGATTCAAATTATAGCGAACATTGAAATATTTTATTAATTATCTAGTTTCAGGCAAAAAAATAAAAACATTTCATAATTGAACATTATTAATAAGATACCATATTACTATAGAATGGTTATCAGCTTAAAGTTTATAATTTATAATTTGCAAAGAAATCTAAAAATTGAACTGCATTTTATAACATACTCCAAATTACTATATATATCGGCGCATTATTATGATAAGATATTAAAAGTGCAGTGTAATAAAAGTACTTGCCTCATATCGTAAACAAAGCAACTGCTAGACTATAGAAAACATTTTAAAATACGGTTTGGTGGAGGGAAGACTTGTACAGCAAAT